CTGACCAACTCTGCCACCACCTGGGAACAGATCCAGGGCTTGGAGGTGGCTCACCCAGCAGCCACCCCATCTATGAGATGCTGGGACATGTGAGGAGCTGGTCCGGTGGAACCATAGCCGCAGGATCTCCATGACTGGGGCAACAGCGGGACATCCAAGAGGAGTCTCGGTGAGGGTCCAGTATTGATGCTGTAGCAGAAGCCAGAGGTCTTGAACCAAACCAATGACTCACTGCAGTGAACAATGGCAAGTAAAGCTGTTTATTCAAAAGGGTTTACTGTGTGACACACTGCAGCTCCCGGTACCACTACAACAGAATATGCGATGGAGAGGCAGAAAGGATGGGGGAGCGGAGTGGTACCTGCAGGGCAGAACTGGAGATGAGACAGCCATGATGGGTGTGAGAGGAGGCTGACGTTGAGAGAGAAGCAGGTCATTGCCCAGAGGGGTCAGCAAGATGTTGTTTTTGTTTGTTTTTGAATTTTAATTTTTGTTTGAGGGGGGAGGTTACAGGGGTGGAGGGCAGATGTGGAAGGACTGGGAAATGAGTGGGATTGGGCTGCATGATATGAAATTCCCAGAGAACCAATAAAAAATTATTATGTTGAAAAAATAAACTAAGGCGTCAATGAGATGGCTCACTGTGTGAAAACACCACTCAAAACTGACAACCCGGGTGTGAAGGAGAGCGCCAACTCCCACAAGTTGTCTACATGCACACTGGAGTACACAATCACCCATGCTATCATTTTTACACACACATACAATAATTAATTCAAATAATTCTAAGGATAACAACTTATCTTATTTAACAATGCCAGCATAGCTAAGTTAAGCAATTTTTTCAACTAAATTATAATTATTAAAATTCAAGATTAATTTTTAAAAACAAGATTAATTTCTAAATGTATAAAATAAAAACCAGCACAATTTCCCTTTGCTTACTCTTCGGGAAACAGGCCTCCAGCCATTGTTCTCTACACGGCGGTACCAGCCACTGTGGTCCTCCTCAACCAGAGGTGGATCATCTTTATTATGAGATGTGCATTTTGCTTGGAGCTTTGTGTAATCTCGGGGGCTATTAGCACACAGATCTTCAACATGTCTGTGAGTAAAAATTTTATAGTATATCTGAGGTGGAAATTTAACCTGTAGGTGGGAAAGTTCAAAGCATCGTTGGAATTCAATAACAGCAATGGGTTACATTTTAAAAATTCTTTTAAACTTCATGTAAGTGTGCTTTAAAACTACCAAACAAGGACTCCAGCCAGGGAAGCAGGTAGGCTAACTGTAGATCTTCACTTCTCCCTCTGTTCTTCCAAATCCAATCCTCCAGGTCACCCCTAGCTGCCACAGACCACCTGCTGAGGCCTCCCTTCCATGTGCCCCATCTCCAGTGGACCACACACATCTTCCCCTCCTACCCTCCCTCCCCAAATTCATTACTTTATCCCAGGCCCTAACTCCAGTAGGCACTCCCTGAGGAAACACAGGCAACTGCAGATCTTCACCTCTCCCTCCATTCCCCAGTCTCATTCCTAGCTCTAGAGAAGACCTTCTGCTGTGGCCTCTCCTCACTCCCTGTCCCCATTCCCAGGGGACTATGCAGATCCTGTGGAACACCCTGCTTTCTTCCCTTCTGTGGACCCCCTCAAAACGTCCCTCCTGGCCCATCCCCATTCTCACATGTTAGCTCCCAGTACCTAGAAATACAATTTATCTGGAACTCTCAGTGGCCACACCTATCAGGATCCCAGAAAAATTCCTATCAGGCAACACACAGCCACAGTCTCCGAAGAACCAGAGAGGGCAACAGAAATCAAGAAACAAAACATGCACCCAACAAAGACAAGATCAGATATCAGCATCTAGAATTACAATCTTCCCAAACCCAGATGCCCAGACGCCAGTATAAAAACAAGGAAACAAGGAGAACAATATGTCTCCACTAAGGCCAGCAGCCCTCCCACAGCAGGCCCTGAGAAACACAACATAGCTGAAACACAAGAAAAGGACCTTAAAATAGCCATTATGAACATGATAGAGGTCCTTACAGAAGAAATGAGTAAATCTCCTCACCTATGAAAACACAAACAAACAATGGAAGGAAATGAATAAAACAGTTCAAGGCCCAAAAGTGGAAATTGAATCAAGAAAACCCAAATTGAGGGAAATCTGGAAATGAAAAATTTAGTAACTCAAACAGAAACCTCAGAGGCAAGCCCCACCAACAGAATATAAGAGATGGAAGAGAGAATCTCAGGCATTTGAAGACATGATAGAAGAAATGGATAAGTCAATCAAAAAAAAATGTTGAATCTAAAAAAAAAAATCATGGCACAAAACACCCAGGAAAGCTGGAACACTATGAAAAGATCAAATCTAAGGATAATAGGAATAGAGGAAGGAAGAGACACAGATCAAAGGCACAGAAAATATTTTCAACAAATTCATAGAAGAAAATTTCTGTAACCTAAAGAAGGAGATGCCTATCAAGGTATAAGAAGCATACAGGGGGGATGAAGAGATGGCTCAGCGGTTAAGAGCACTGGCAGTTCTTCCAGAGGTCATGAGTTCAATTCCCAGCAACCACATGGTTCATAACCATCTGTAATGAGATCTGGCATCTTCTTCTGGCCTGCAGGCAGAACACTGTATACATAATAAATAAATAAACCTTAAAAAAAAAGAAGCATTACAGAACATCAAATAGACTGGACCAGAAAAGGAAGTCATCCCCTCACCCCCCATCACATAATGATCAAAACACTAAACAGCCAGAACAAAGAGTATTAAAAGCTGAAAAGGAAAAAGGTCAAGTAACATACAAAGCTAGACCTATTTAGAATAACTCCTGACTTCTCAATAGAGACTAAAAACCAGAATGGCCTGGACAGATATTTTATAGACTCAAAGAGACCACAGATGCCAGCCAGCCCAGACAAAATATCCATTGCAATAGATGGAAAAAATAAGATATTCCATGATAAAACCAAATGTAAGTAATATCTATCTACAAATCTATCCCTACAGAATGTACTGGGAGGAAAACTCCAACCTAAAAGGGTTAACCACACCCAAGAAAACACAGGGAATATCCCAGACCAGTGTATCAAACCAGGAAAAACACATACGCACTCATACCCCCCATACACACATAACACCACCACAACAAAATAACAGGAATCAACAAACACTACTCATTGATGTCTCTCAACATCAATGACTTTCATTTCTAAATAAAGACATAGACTAACAGAATGGATGCAAAAACAGATTCATTCTGCTGTATCCAAGAAATGCACCTTGACATCAAGAATAGACATCACCCAGGCTAAAGGGATGGAAAAAGAAGATTTTCCATTCAAATGGACCTAAGAAGCAAACTGGTGTAACCATTTTAATATCTGACAAAATAGACTTCAAACTAAAATTAGAGATAGGAAAGGGCAGTACACAGCCATCTAAGGAAAAATCCACCAAGAGGACACTGCAGTTCTTAACATCCATGCACCATACACAAGTTCATGAAAGAAACGCCACTACAGCTTAAGCTGCATATTGAACCCCATACACCAATAGTGGGAAACTTCAATACCCCACTCTCGCTAACAGATCATCCAAACACTAAACAAAAATGCTGGAGCTAACTGGTACTGTAAACTAAATGGACCTAACAGATATTTATAGATCATTTCACCCAAACACAGAAGAATATACCTTCTCAGCACCTCATGGACTTTTCTTCAAAATTGACTACATAGTCAGACACAAAGCAAGTCTCAACAGATATTTAAAAAATTGATATAACTGCCTGCATCCTAACTGACCACCACCGATTAAAGCTGGGTATCAACAACAGAGAGCTTGCAAATGCACAGAAACCAAACAACTCACAATTGAATGAAAAAAAAAAGTCACAGCAAAAAATTAAGAAATAAAGCCTGTTTAGAATTGAATGAAAACGAACACACAACATACCCAAACTTATGGGACACAATAAAACAGTTCTAAGAAGCAAGTTCATAGCACTAAGTGACTACATTAAAAAAAAAATTTAGAGAGCTCTCACACTAGTAAGTTAACAGCACACCTGAAAACTCTAGAACAAAAGGAAGGAAACCACACCCAAGAGGAGAAGACAGTAAGAAATAATGAATCTCTGGGCCAAAATCATTAAAATAGAAAAAGAATACAAAGAATCAATGAAACAAAGAGTCATTTCTTTGTGAAAGTCTTTAAGATCTATAGACCCTTATTCAAATTAACTGAAAGGTGGAGAGAGGATATCCAAATTAACAAAATTAGAAATGAAAAAGAAGATGTAACAGACATCGAGGGGATCTAGATGATCATAAGGACTTAAAAAACTGTATTCCACTAAATTGGAAAATCAAAAAGAAATGGATAATTTTCTTGGTACATACCACTTACTAAAGTTCAATCAAGATCAGATAAGTGATTTAAACAAACCTATAACCCCTAGTGAAATAGAAGCAATAATTAAGTCTCGCAACCAAAAAAAGATCAGGGCCAGATGGTTTTAGTGCAAAACTCTGTCAGACTTTCAAAGAACAGTTAATTCCAATCCTCCTCAAATTATTCCACAAAATAGAAACAGAAGGAACATTGTCCTATTTGTTTTACAAGGCCACAGTTACCACGATAGCCAAACTACATAAAGAACTAACAAAGAAAGAAAATCACAGACCAATTTTCCTTATGAACATAGATGCAAAAAATTCTCAATAAAATACTTACAAAGCAAATCCAAGAACACATCAAAAAGATTATCTATCATGTTCAAGAAAGCTTTACCCCAGAGATACAGGGATGCTTCAATGTATGTAAATTGATGAATATAATTCATCATATAAATAAACTTAAAGACCAAAACCACATAATCATCTCATTAGATCCAGAAAAGGCCTTTGACAAAATCCAACACCCCTTCATGATAAAAGTCCCAGAGAGACTAGGAATACAAGGGACATACCTAAACATAATAAAGGCAATTTACAACAAGCTGACAGCCAACATCAAATTAAATGGGGAGAAACTTGAAGCAATTCCACTAAAATCAGGAACAAGACAAAGTTGTCCACTCTCTCCATATCTATTCAGCATAGTGCTTCAAGTCTTGGCTAGAGCAATTTGATAACTAAAGGAGGTCAAGGGGATACAAATTGGAAAGGAAGAAGTATCTTTATTGCAGATGACATGATAGTGTACATCAATGACCCTAACAGTTCCACTGGGAAACTCCTACAGCTGATAAAACACACTCAGCAAAGTAGCTAGGTACAACATTAACTAACAAAAATCAATAGCCCACATATATATATATATATATATATATATATATATATATATATATATA